ATTATTGTTCAATTATAATAAAAACTTGAATTTTAATTGGTAATCTATATTCTATATTAATTAATAAAAATAATAACATACTTTACAAGTTCCCGCCTAAACAATTAATAATAATATGAAAAAAAAAATAGAAATGAATGGAAGGAAGCCGTACGCCAAAACAATATAGAATAATATTGGGAAGGAAATTAATAATAATATGGAAAAATGAAAATGAATGGAAGGAAATGTTAGTCATGGGAATTTTTTCTACACTCTAAAAAATGGAAAAGAATCCATAAGCAGTATAAGAAAAAGAATCATTAAGATATTTACTATTAATCTTTTAGGAAAGATTTTGCATAAAAAAAATAGAATAGAATTAGTTATTAATAATTTAGCCTTATTTTACTATTAATCTTGAAGAAAAATTATGCGTAAAAAAATGTAATAGAATCGGTTATTAATAAGTTAGCTTTATTTTACTATTAATCTTTAAGGAAGATTTTGCTTAAAAAATGAAATAGAATCAATCTATCTATATATCTATATATCTATATATATATAATTAAAAACAAAATCATTCTAATTCATTTTCCCGCCCGAACTTTTGTAGTAAAGCTTATTTGGTAAGTAAATCTCAAATGAAAATTAAATAAAATCTATTAATTCGTAAATAATAATAATAATCCAAACAAAACTATATAGAAATTAAAATTAAAATTAAAAAAAATAAGAAGAAGACAAAGGTGGCTCCCCTTTGTAAATGATGTGGGATCATTTTGATCCCACATTAAAAATGTTTGGAAAGATGAGCTCTTGAGCTCCTCTATATATATATAAGAGGATCATTGCTTCTCTTACAAACATATAATTGCTTGCCCATCAATGTGGGCAAGTATTGCGAAGTCCAAAGACTGTTTTTTTTTTTAGTACTATTGATCCGACAAATTATGTTGTGTCACCGTGTCCACCTTGCAAAGTAGACACAGTTAAAAAATAGTTTATAATTATGAATATATAGTTCTATAATTATAAACATAGTGTTGTGAACATAATTATAAACATATAATTATGTAATTATGAATATAGAGATTCAATAAGTGTAAATATGAAATTCAAAAATTATGAATATATATCCAAACAAAACGATATACAAACATTTATTACAACAACAACAACAACAACAACAACAATAATAATAATAATAATAATAATAATAATAATAATAATAATAATAATAATAATAATAATAATAATAATAATAATAATCATAATCATCATCATCATCATCATCATCATCATCATCATCATCATCATCATCATCATCATTCAAACAAAACGATATACAGAATAAAATTAAAATTAAAACAAAAAATTAAGAAGAAAGACAAAAAGAAGCCACGGGCTCCCCGTTGTAAATGATGTTGGATCATTTTGATCCCAATTGAAAATGTTTGGAAAAGGAGCTCTTGAGCTCCTCTATATAATTGCTCCTCTTACAAATATAATTGTTTGTCCATCAATGTGGACAAGTATTGAGAAGTCCAAAGGCAAATATTTTATTTTTTGAGTACTATTGGCACGTCAAATTATGTTGTGGAATCGTCTCCACCTAGCAAGGTAGACATATTTTTAAAATTGCTCATAATTATGAATATATAGTTCAAAAATTATGAATATATAGTTCTAAAATTATGAACATAGTGTTGTGAACATAATTATGAATATATAGTTATGTAATTATGAATATAGAGATTCAATAATTCTAAATATGAAGTTTAAAAAGTATGAATATATAACTTTATAATTATGAACATATAGTTTAGTAATTATGAACATAGAGTTTTGTAGTTTTTTTTTTTTTTTTTTTTTGAAAGAGTTTTGTAGTTGTGAATATAGAGTTCAATAATTATGAATATGAAGTTCAAAGAGTATGAATATTTAGCTTTATAATTATGAATATATAGTTCAGTAATTATGAACATAGAACTGTGTCCACATTGCAAAGTGGACACATTTCCACAGCATAACTATTCGATTCACCGTGTTACATGTAGTATCTGTTCATATAAACTTTCTCAACCTATTGAAGCCCAACATTTCAAAAGGCTCTTATTTAAGAAACCTTATTTTAATGGCTTCATATTTTAGTTTTTTTTTTATATATAAATTTATTAGGGGGTTTGGTTAAGTTTAACCCAAAATGTATGTGTTGTTTTAGTTTTTAGCCGTTTGGAGCAAATTGCTAAGTTAATAAATAATATTTTTAGTTATTTGATTAAATATAAAATATTAAACAAACGAATTTCTTAGAATTTTGGTGAATTTGCCAAATAATCAAATTACAACAAAAAACAACAACAACAACAACAACAACAATAATAATAATAATAATAACAATAATAATAACAATAATAATAATAATAATAATAATAATAATAATAATAATAATCCAAACAAAACTATATACAACATAAAATTAAAATTAACAAAAAAATAAAAATAAATAAAACAAAGGGGAGCCACATGCTCCCTTTGTAAATGATGTGGGTTCATTTTCATTCCAAATTGAAAATGTTTGAAAAGATGAGCTCTTGAGCTCCTCTATATAAGAAGTACAAACATAATTGTTTGCCCATCGATGAGGCGAGTATTGAGAAGTCAAAAGGTTCTTATTTGAGAAACCTTAGCTTTGTCTTCTTATTTTAGTTTTATTTATTTATTATTTATTATTTATTAGTGGGGGTTATGAAAGATTAACTCAAAATGTATGTGTTGTTTTAGTTTTTAGCAGTTTGGAGCAAATTACTTAGTTATTAAATAATATTTTTGGTGTTTTGATTAAAGATAAATTGTTAAAATGGCGAATTTTTCAATAATAATAATAATAATAATAATAATAATAATAATAATAATAATAATAATAATACGATATACAAAATAAAATTAAAATTTTTTAAAAAAATAAAAAGAAGATAAAAGGGAGTCATGGGCTCCCTTTGTAAATGATGTAGGATCATTTTGATCTCACATTGAAAATGTTTGGAAAGAGGAGCAATGCTCCTCTTACAAACATAATTGCTTGCCCATCAATGTAGGAGAGTAACCTGGAGGGTGTGGTTGAGTGTAAGGAACTCATCCATCGTTAACCAAAGGTCAAGAGTTCATCCTTGTATTTGGGAATGGAGCAGCCTTAAATCTCTAAGCCAGCTGTCTCACCCAAAAGATGTGCTTACAATTTAGCGAGGGGATTAGTCACTGTGTCCGACGGTGGAAATCCTGGGTTTACCAAAAAAAAAAAAAATCAATGTGGGGAAGTATTCAGAAGTCCAAAGTATCTTCTTCTAATCATTGCATTTTAATTAAAAATGGAATGGAAATTAAAAATTGGAGGAAAATATTCCAATAATAATATTCTACATTATCAATAGTAAATGCATATTTTAAACAATAGTAAAGGTAAATAAAAATGGAACGGAAATATTTCAATAATAATATCTACATCATCAATTAAAAATGGAAAGTTAGGTAAAAGTCATTTGATATTTTAATTGACTGAAAATAAAAAAGAATAATTGGCTGAAAAATGAATATGATATTACGAATTGACTGAAAAGATAAAAGGATAACTAATTGAGTGATATTCTACCATTATATATTTTCATCCAAGTAACACGTCCTGATGGAGAAGATGTTAGCTCTAGACGAAGATGAACACGATTGTGTTGTCACTACCAATGTCGTCTACAAAGAGGTTTCAATAATGTGTAAATATAATTGGTGATATTATTTTTTTTTTTAAAATGAAAAAATTGATATATATCTAGACAAAAAGATATATCTTCCATACAAATGAATAAAGATAGCAATTCATTTATATAACTGAGTTGTTAGAGAACGAGCACATTTGCCTAATGTATGAAAATAGTAAACAATGATAAATAAAATTTTTAAAATTATAGGACCGCATGCGTACATCTAGACATTAGCTATTAATTTGAGCCATTATTTGCACAAATTCAAGCAATGATAACATCAAAATATATAAACGATTCAAATTATATATGTTTAATTGCACTATATAATATTTGATGTTCTAATTTAAATAATTATATATCGATTTATATTTTCTTAATATATTACAACAAATCCATTCCGTGCATCGCACGGGTGCAAATACTAGTAATAATAATAACAACAACTAGTGGTGGTATGACGGTGGTAGCAATGGTGGTGGTGGTGATGATTGGTGGCGGTGGTATGGTGGTGGTGGTGGCGGCGACGACGATGGTTGCGGTGGTGGTGGCGGCGACGGTGGTTGCAGTGGTATGGTCGTGGTGGTGGCGACGTCGGTGGTGTGATGGTGGCAGTGGTTGCGGTGGTGGTGACGGCGGTGGTGGTGGTGGTGTGATGGCGGCGGCGGTGGTGGTGGTGGTGTGATGGTAGCGGTGTGGTGGCAGTGGTATGGTGGTGGTGGCGGTGGCGGTGGTGGTGTAATGGTGGTGGTGGTGTGGTGGTGGCGGTGGTATAGTGGTGGTGGCGGTGGCGGTGGTATGGTGGTGGTGGTGGTGGTGGCGACAGTGGTTGCGGTGGTAGTGGCGGCGACGGTGATTGTAGTGATGGTGGTGTGGTGGCGGTGGTATGGTGGTGGTGGTGGTAGTGGTGGTGGTGGTGGTGGTGGTATGGTGTTGATGGTGGTAGTGGTTGCAGTGGTATGGTGTTGGTGGTGGTGGTGTGGTGGCGGTGGTTGCGGTGGTATAGTGGTGGTGGTGGCGACTGTGATGGTGGTGATGGTGGTAATGAGGTGGTGGTGGCATGGTGTTGATGATGTTGGTGTAAAAGTTGGAAAATGACTTCCCAAAAAAAAGGGAAAGTCATTTTCCTCCAAAACAAGCCTATTTTCCAAAGTCAACGGAAAATGATTTCCGTTGACTTAATTTTCCAAGCACATCCAAACAATGGAAACTTGGAAAATGATTTCCAGAACTCATTTTCCAGGTTTCCAAACACACCCTTAATTTATCCCTCGGGGGGTGTGGGGTCGAGGGAAATGAATATGTATGCTCCCACTCCGAACATTGCCGAAGCAGCAGCAATTCAGCAAAGAGGTCTCTCCTCCGCCCGCCCCGATCCTTCCAAGCGGCGCTACACCTCCATAACCACCTCGTTTTGCCGTCTATATCTCTGCAATTGAAGCATTGTTCACAAGTCTTAAGCTTTTCTCTTCTTCCCTGCTATGGGATATATCCGCTCCTCCGGCATCACTCTGCATCTCGTACAAAAATCCCATAAAACAAAACCCTAGTACCCACCTTCGCCACTAAATGATCACAACCACGCAGCTGTCTAAGGTAAATGGGAAATGGAAACGGGAAACCATGTTGTTCTACCCTTTTTCTCTGATTTGCCGAAATGTCATTTTTTTTTTTTTTTTTTTTTTTTTCCGATTGTACGCAGACTAACAAATAGGAGAAAAGGATCGAAGATGACACAACCATCGGTTGTGCTTGCAACAGCTAGCTATGATCACACTATTCGGTTTTGGGAAGCGAAGAGTGCCCGCTGTTTTCGGACTATCCAATACCCTGAATCAGTAAGTCCTCTTTAGCCCTTCCTCCACTACACAATGGAATTCTGGCCATTTTGATGGTATAAATCTTTTATGTTATTGGCTTAACTGCTTCTCCAAATCAGCTCAGTTAGTATTTGGATATGACATTTCAGTGAAAATGCAATGTATGCAATCTGAGCATTGCTATGTATGTGAATTTAAATGAATTGGGCATGATAGAAGGATAATGAACTGTAGCATTTTCATATCTTTGTTCATGGTTCATAACAATCTCTCATCTTGCTTATAATGTAGCACATTGCTAGAAGTTAAAAATAAAAACTTTTCAATGCCTCTGGTTTGAGACCTTTTAACAGGATGAGATCTGGTTTGACTGCTGGAAAACAAGAAAACATATGCTATGTTTTCTTCTTGTCACCTTAGTGAAGAAAAAGTTGTGAAGTGTAGGAATAGAGTATTTGGATTTAACTATCTTTTTCATTTTCTAACTGAAAATATCTGTTTTTTTTTTTTAATGGCATTATAGCAAGTCAACCGGCTTGAGATTACCCCAGACAAGCATTTCCTGGCTGCAGCAGGCAACCCTCACATTCGATTGTTTGACATCAATTCAGACCGTCCTCAGCCTGTAAATTTCTTGATATTCTCACATTCTTTTCTTTTTTCTTTTTTTCTTCTCTCATCCATTTAGTTCTAAGTATATATAAACATGTGTTCATTTGAATTGGCTGATTTATTCTTTCTTTGGCAGATACAAAGCTTTGATTCACACACTAACAATGTTATGGCAGTTGGATTCCAATGTGATGGAAATTGGATGTATTCTGGTTCTGAAGATGGCACAGTAAAGATTTGGGATTTGAGGTACTTTTCAAATATAAATCAAGCACATGGCCTGTATTTGATTTCTTATTCTGTTTTCAATGATCTCTCTATACATGTCTTTTGAAAAACAGGGCACCGGGTTTTCAGAGGGAATATGAAAGTCGTGCAGCGGTCAACACAGTTGTTTTGCACCCAAATCAGGTTTTCTACTATAGTTTCATGTTTGATGAATTAGTTTTACTGAATTTATGATATCAAGGTTGTAAAAGGCGCTAGGCGCTCATTGGGCGGTGGATTGGTGCCTAGGTGCCATGGTTCCTTAATAATTTTTTTTTAATAAAAAAATAAAACAATAAAGCCTAACCCTAGCCCAAACCCAAACTCTCCAAAGACAAAATCTTAGCCTAATTTCAAGTCCCAAAAATTCATATTTCCACCAATGAAGCACTACCATCTCTCTTCAACTTCAACAACAGCAATGAGTAGATGATTTCCAAGCGGTGATAGCGAGATGCAATGATGGGCTTTGACACGCGAAGGAAATCCAACCGTCCGACAAGGTGAGGGGCTTTGCGAAGGCGATTGGGGGTGACTATGATATGAGTTAGAAATTTGGCTTCGTGTCACAGGTCTATGGCTAACGGAAGATGACGATATACCTATGGTGAAAGAAGAGAGGAATGAATGAGCAGAGGCTAGAGGAAGAAAACCTCCTTTTTATTTTATTCAAATTCAAATTCAAATTCCGGCTTGTCAATTATAAATAAATTCTCAGTAATGCTAATTGAGGGTGCGAACTCCAATGAAGGCAGCAGTGACGCAGAGGAAATTTGACCGACTTGGCTGACTAGTTGGTCAACTTGGCCGACTAATCGGACGGCCTCCTACATCAGAATATGCATCAACCTACGTGCGCCTAGTGCCTAGGCCGATTTTTGCAACACTGTATGATATTTTTTAATATATATCTGAGTTTACACAGTTACACTTAACAGGGATGGGAATCAATTTTGATTTTCACTGTTATCAGTGAAATGACTGTTTTTGTTCTATTTTTCTGAGCTTTCTGCTATGCTCATTGAGGTTCTTTTTGGAACTATAAAAATTGGATGGATTTTGCAACTAGTGTCCATTTTCTTCAAACAGCAGAATGTAACAGACTAACAGATACAACCTTTTGTTGTTCTTTAAAATGGCTTTTATCAAGGTCTGAAGTCCAAGGTTGAGCACTTGACCATGATACCAATCCCAACTCCTTAGTTAAATACCTATACAAATAAACAAAAGTTTGAATCTCTTATTTGGAAAAGTTGATTAGGTTCACAGATCAATTCAAGGGTTATAATTTTTTGAAATAATATTAATTTATTTAACATGGCAAAATGCATGTCTATTCCTTTCTTTCAAGATAGTTTGCAAAAGGCATATGAGTGTGCCTTCCATATCCTTTTCTAGTCCTTTAAAAGAAAAACCTTAACACTTATTCCATTCTTTAGGATGATATCTGATCTTTCTAAATTTAGTTCAGAAACTATAAATTGGAATTCTCCTGTGTATGCAATTTCATTATCTACTATGCTTTGCAGACTGAGCTGATATCTGGTGACCAGAATGGAAATATTCGAGTTTGGGACTTGACAGCTAATTCATGCAGCTGTGAATTGGTATGTTGAGTTTTGTTTTTTGTCATTCATATGTTACTGAACTTGTGGATTCTGGCAAAATTATTACTGAAAAAACTGTTGACTTGGGGACCTCATTTTTAGTAGTGGAATTTATCAGCCGAGTCATATAATTTAGTGCAAATTTTTGCTTATATGCTTTTTTGAACTTTAGGTTCCAGAGGTGGATACCGCAGTCAGGTCTTTGACTGTAATGTGGGATGGAAGCTTGGTTGTGGCTGCAAATAATCATGGAACATGTTATGTTTGGCGTCTATTGCAGGGAACCCAGGTTACCACCTTGTCCCCCCATCTTAATTTATCAGTACTATGTTAAAGATTTTCAAATCTCATATTTCTTTAATATCGGCTCTGCCTAGTGGTAGAATAAAACTGGATCTTCATCTTTTAAACTGGGAATTGGATCAAGTTTGCTCTTTCAGTATTGGACTTTTCTTGTATTGGCACTTCATAATTAAGATTTTCACCTTCACATCTTTCTTTGTAGCTGATTACCTAATAGGCAAATAAACATGATCAAATTTTCATTAAACTACACTACTACTGCAGACTATGACCAACTTTGAGCCCCTTCATAAATTACAAGCACATGATGGATACATCCTCAAATGTCTCCTTTCCCCGGAGTTGAGTGAGCCTCACCGGTTAGACTTTCATGCTTATTCTTTGCTTTGCTTATATTTCTTTGAAAATTGAAATTTTAGGTAAATACTATACTGCCACCCTCAAATAAGGGTGCTTTTAGCCTATTAGGATAGGATGTTGGAATTATTTGTTTTGTTTTCCAATATTTTTTCCCTCCCTGAAATGGTAATCTGCAGGTATCTGGCCACAGCATCTTCTGATCATACTGTCAAGATATGGAATGTGGATGGATTTACCTTGGAGAAAACTCTCATAGGTACATACCAAATTAATGTGGTTCTTTTTCTTCGATTTTTTATGTTAAATCTCTAATGCCCTCATTCTCTTATTTCACTACCCATAAGATTCTTCATAAAGTCAAATGTGATATTTCTTATTTGGATGCATTTTTAGGACATGAACGCTGGGTCTGGGACTGTGTTTTCTCTGTCGATGGTGCTTTTCTAATCACAGGTACCTTACCTGTTTGGTTTTCTGAATCACAAATTATTGATCTGAGAATGCTTGATCAATCTTGGGGTGACTTATCACCATATTTGTGTGCTTTGTAGTTTGTAACTAGCTGACATGTCTAGCTTTCCGATTTCAAACATTATAATGCTGAACCCAATCTCTAGTACACGCTAAAATAATCACAACCTTCAAATTTTGCAGCTTCTTCCGACACAACAGCGAGATTATGGTCCGTGTCTGGTGGCAAAGAAATCAAAGTATACCAGGGACATCACAAGGCAGCTGTGTGTTGCGCTCTCCATGACGGGCCCGAACCCTCTAGCTAGCTAGCTCATCCATCAATTATGTGGTTTTCAGATGATTTGGTAAACTGGCAAAGAATATTTTGTCCATGTCAACCAGCAAGATAATGGGCCTGACTGAACTAAACCCTCTTTGATTCTTGGAAGTATTCTTTAATCTTACAGGTACCTGGAGCCTGGAGGGGTGTTTTACACTTGTACTTGTGCAGTATGCTCATCAACTTTCTATACTAGTTTTCAGATCATTGCTTGATTTCTAGAGTTTTATTTCGTCGTACGAGCACGACTTAAAAGAGATGATTCTAGATTCATTAATCTCCTTGTAAGCATGGTTAAGGAATAAAATCAATTTCTTGAATTGTATATTACTATAATGAGACACCAAGAGAGAATGGAATGGAATGGAATTATTACTCCTACATGTTCTCTGCAGAAATGGAAGAAAATGTGTTGCTTACAGGATGAATTAATAAATGTAAAGTAAAATCTGTATCTCAAATGCTTAAAATCACAAACGTGGTGGTCATATTGGGCAGCAAGACAAGTTGAGAGAGAGACACAGAAACAACTCAACTCAACTCAGTACACAATAATAGAGATTACATAATACATACATCATGTTCAACTTCAACTTTGGAAATCCAGGGAGGAGAGGAGAGGGGAGGGGTCATAACTATCTGAGAGAAAGACAGAAATAAAGATGGATCACTGCTCTTTTCGTTTTCTACTGTCTGATGCAACTTGATTACTGGTGTTTGTACTTGCGGGTGCAACTTTTGCGGGCACCGATCGCTCAGCCTGAGAGAATTTAATCAGTATCTGCATGAGAATTGTAACAACTCCCAGGAGAGCTGCTGAAATTGATAGGCCTTTCCATGACGATAGAAGCCCCGAAGACTGGAAGAATTTTACCGCTCCTAGAATTAGCAGACATGCCCACGACACAACCACCTATATATATTTTTCCCCGAAGAAGAAAATTAGCATATGCAACCTCCTATATCATACATATGGAGCACTGGCAAGTATCTTACCACAAGTGATTTCACTGGCCTGCCAAGATCTCGCTCCAGCTCTTGTCCAAAGGTGTCTTCAGCATTATGTTTATCCAATAAATTGTCCTGCTTATTATTGGAATGAATAAGAAGGTTACTCCAAAAACCAATACATAACCAGTTTCCATGCATTAAGTCTCCTCTATTGCTTTGGAGGAAAAAAAAAAAAAAAATACAATAAGAAAGAGAGGGTAAACCTTTGCCACAAAGGCATCCCTACACCACTGAGCAACATCATCATCATTTTCTGGCAGATCCTTCATTAAGTGTCGCTTGAGGTGAACATGGACCTGCACCGTTTAATAATAATAGTAATACTAACCCCAAAGTATTTGAGTACTTACAGGATAAGTTCTTATGATCCTATTAACCAAATATATGTCAATAAAGATATTAAGCATAATTTATAATTGCAATAAAGTTGACCAGGAGATCAAATCACATTATTCCAATCTTCTAACTTGCAGGATAATGGGCTATGTGACATCATAAAGTTATCCAAGTTCAATACACCCAACACCAACCCCCGATTGTCAAATGAGAGAAAGTATCTCAGGAAAGAATGGAGGCCTATGTGCACCATATAAACCAATAGGGCCTAAAGCCAAGCAGCCCAACGTACAAAATCAAATCTCTGAGTAAATCCTTATAGCCCGACCAACAGTTTGGTCAAGATTGCTCAGTATAGATTTGAATTCCTAATTGTTCATATCTTTCAGAAACAGTAAATTGATTTAAAGATAACATCAAACTTCTTAGATTGTTTGGCTTACCACAGAGGATTTCCCCTTGAAAATCCGTAGCATTGTTGGTGGTGGAGAACTCTTAGGAATGGCTACTGTCATCTCATATATTGCAGGAACAAATGATCGCATGTGACTTACCGCCGTAACAAAACCCTGAAATGAATGCACGAATACCAAAAAAAAGACTTCTTCAAACCAATATGAATCAGACGTAACATCAAGCTAGAAATAGAAAGAACAAATGAAAGACTTCAATTTAAGCAACACAATAGAAAAACTAAAACACAATAAAGCATCTTGTAAAGCATTGATACAAGGAAAACTTTTTCAAACATCAAAAACTTAAAAAAAAAATAAATAAATAAAAAATCAAAGACTTCAACACAACAGAAGAAATAAAAGAACGCATTTGGACAGTAACCTTATGTCTGAAGCAATCAAGATATCAAATTCAGGACGCCAGTTCCCATGCCTAACATTTCTGAAGATCTCATCTCAAAGAAGCATTTTTGACCTCACAAAACAATCTGCCAACCTCAACCATTACCGCCAAACAAAAAATACAACATGGGGACACATCTATTAATGCTTTATAGAAACCAACAATGACGGACCAGACCTCAGTCATGAAATCTTCATCTTTGGGTCCAGTGCACATCTTTGTGCAAAGTTACACCAGATAATCAAAGTTCAAATAGATACATATATTACAAACACAAATGAACTGAGGCAATATACATGAATCTGGGACATCACAAAATTTGGGATTACATAGAGAATACACTGTATAACAAAAGCAAGATGGAAAAAATCTTCTTTGGAGGTAAGAAACTATAAAGTCTATAATCACCTTAGTACGAGGAATTAAAACATTTCTTGGAACAGGTAAGCCTGTTGAGGTAGCATACTCTTGAGCAGCTAAAAGCTTTGCCTGTGTGAAGCGAGTACCTTCAACAAAAAGTGCCAACCAAAAAGGCAGTGGATAATCACGTAACTGTTGAAGACCTGACTGCAGTAAGATCCCACAAAGTTCCATTAGGAGACTCCAAATCAAAACCAAGAAACTGAGTACAGCAAATAAACATATATGCCTGCAACTCACTTTTTAGTCATACCTTTAATGTAGTTTCATCCTTGGCCCAACTTCTTTCAAGGAAAAGATACTCAGAAAACCACATGGACCATCCAATAACCTGAAAATTTGCAAAGAAATTATGGTGAGCATTTCAGTATACTTCTAAATCTGTTTAATCATTACAAGTGAATAGCAGATGGGATAACAGTATACTCTTTTGCAACATGATTCTCACAGCATACGAACAAAATGGGCTAAAGTTTAGTCGCCTTAGCAAAGAAGCTATGTAGTACTTGATTTTCTTCATCCATTGAATTTAAAGAATTTCATTATACTGATTTAAATACAGAAGGACAATAAAGGCTTCATCCCTCCATAGGGAGCATCAGCCAAAGATAAATACAATAACATTATAACTGCAGAGATCCAAGTCTCCTACAGTTGGGGTTTAAATTCAAGATTCATAACTTGTACAAATAATGGAGGACATCAGAGCTCTATATAGAGAGCTTCACTCCACCAACTAGTACAGTTGAGACAAGCTGAATGGAGGTTCACAAAAAACTTACTGGAAGGAGTTTGGATGATTTCTTCATTACAGCTAATGTGCTACCAAGGCAACCTGATCGCTGAAATCAAAATATTCAAGGTTAGCTCAAGAGCAATCTAATTTGATATTAGTGGGTGCATATATGAGCATATACTCACTTTTTCAGGCATACATACACACATTGATATGCTTAAAGAATGAAACATGTACATGGATGTATACAAATAACATATACACAAATATTTACACAATTGCACAAAGTATATAAACAAGCACAGCAAGATTAAATCAGAGGCATAAATTAACTAAAGCAAAATACAAAACAAACCTGAGCTAACACCCATCCAACAAGCCAATCTATGTCACTTTTGTGATTTGATATTACAAGAGCATGTTCTTTACCTGGAAAAGTTAACAGTGCATGTCAACAACCACTCACCACAAAACATGTTAACTTTTACATATAAGCTTCTGCATTAACCAAAATAAAAGCTCACCCATCAGTTTAACTGTCTCGGGGTCTGTGTATAATTTAACCTGCAACAAGAATATTTCAAATATGACAAATAGAACTACCCAAGTATATAAACACAGATAAGGAAGAAAGATAAAAAGCAATAAATGAAAATTAATATTTTGTTCTTATTGCAAGTAAATTTAATGTATTATTACCATTTTCAGTTGCACAAATTATAGGAAACAAATGCGACCACAAAAAGGGCACATCATTTCAAATTTTCAACCAAAAGTGGCACATTATGGCAATTTATGGGTAAGTTGTAACATACTGCACATTATTAGCAAAGATTGCTACTGAGAAGTGTGGGAATTCAATCATTACCTTGACACCCGCCCACCAATCAACAAGCCAAATGAGCTCAAGCCACAACAGTTCTGCAAACACCCTGTTAATCCTCCTGTATGTGTTCTTCGACAATGGCCGTATAAGAACAAAGCATATAGCCTGCCAATTATTTTCAAAATTAATAATAACAACAATAACAACAGAGCCTATTAACTCAAGCAATATTGTTGCATAACCAGAAAAGCATCATTCTACAAAGTAACTGAATGAAATTATCTCATTAAAAAAAAACTAAGAAAATTAATTAATTAAAACACACACACACACACACACACAGAAAGTATCGAACAAAATTACTCCATAAATCCTGAATTCTCGTCCTAGCAGAGTGAAGCCACAAAAGACTCCTATTACTTAGATTTAGGATAAGCTCAATCAAAGCATGAAACATCAAAAACCCCAGACACAGGCTGAAACGGCGAAATCTTTTGTGTAAAGATAATTTAATACCTGAATGAGATTGGTGAAGAGACCCGAGATAAAAAAGAGAACGCCCAACGGGACGATAACAGCTGCAGCTGCAATCGCCATGGCCGAGCTCCCAAAACTCAACCGAAAATCACTACTTGTGTGTGTAAGTATAGAAGCAGATTTACATGCGCAGATGATACGGCGGATTTAAAGATACATGACGAAATGAATTACTCACTCCGTAATTTTCTTTTCTGCTTTTTCTCTACTCTACCTGAATAAAATATTTAATTTCACCTCGAAACTTCGAATTTATGTTTTAACTTTGCGTCCTTCAAGTTTTTAATATTCTGATTCCATCCTAGGATGACAATTTCAATCCGCCTCGAGAATAACCACCCGAATTCATCCCGCATGGATTAAGTTTTTGGATGATAGTCGGTGGTGAGTCAGGAGTGGATTTTAAAAAATAAATTCATAGTAGGTCAAGTTAGATTCGAGTTCTATGTATAAAATTGATCTAGAACTCTATTCGACTCACTATGCGTGTGTGTATATATATATATATATATATATATATATATATATATATATATATATATATATATATGTTATAATAATAAAATAAGTAGGGGAAATGGCACTTTTTCCCCCTATGTTATATACTTATAGCACTTTTTCCCCTTCAATTATTTATGTAAGCACATTAGCCCCCTCAATTATTTTAAAAGTGGTGGTTTTCTCCCCTAATATATTAAATTGACATTTCTACCTTTAAAGTAAACATTTTATTTATTTTACTTCTCCAACAAATTATTGCGTATATGTAGCGATTACCACGGTTCGGTTCGAACTGAACCAGACACTATAGCAATCGAATTAAAAGTTTTCAGTTATGATTCAGATCTAGAACCCAATATTTGGATTTCAATTTATTAAATTTAAGAATAAAAAAAAAAAAACTGGATCATGAACCGACGGTTCCGGATCCCTTCGCGATTTTGAACCGTCTTTATTTTAAAATTTTATTTTTTATTTTAAAATAGTTTAAATTCAACAATAAATGTATTTTATTTTTTCAGTTTGGAACATGAACCGCCCATTCCAGTTCGTGATTTTAATAAACTCTAAATATCGTGTTTTGATTATAAATTGTAATTGGAATATTTTGGTTTGGTTACTATAGTATCTGGTTTGAACCAAATTATAGTAATAATTTATTGGAGAATAAAAATAAATGAAATATTTATTTTAAGGGTAAATATGTCCATTTAACATTTCAGGGGGAAAAAGAGCCACTTAAATAATTGAGGGGGAAAAAGTGCTATAAGTATATAACATAGGGGGAAAAAGTGCCATTTTCCCAAATAAGTATTAATATGTAATTATTTATATCGCTTAACCATAAAATCTTTGATTTAAAAGTGCGATTTTAGTCCTTCAAGTTAACACACATGACACAACCACCCCATTCTTCCTTATTGAATGGGGGCAATTTAGGTAGTTCAATAAAATATCTCAAACATAACTTTTGTATCCCTCAAAAAGGATATTTTAGGAGTGATGTAAAACTTTGTAAATTAACACAAAAATATAAAATATATTAAAAAGAGAATGAAAGTGTAAAGTCCACAATAGATCAAATAAGGATACAATTAGGGTACAGAAGAAAAAGTCACCGGGATTTTCGGTTGTGCTTTATGAAAGGTCATGATAGATTGATAGTTGATAGTTGGCGGGAATCTTTTCATGGGTCGTCCATTCAAAAATCTGTTAAATAACTGTCATTCTAATATAGTGCTTCACTTTGGTAAATAAGGATTTTAGGAAAATAATTAAAAGATTAATGAATTAATTACTTAATGCTCTCTCGGTCGTGTGCCGTGTGGTTTCTTCCCGTTTCCATGACGGGCGGTTTCTTTCGTTTCTCTTTCGTGATTTTTGTGGTGGGTGGCGGTTTTCTACATGAATGGCGGTGCTTGGCGGGCTTTCATTACCTTTTAAGGGAGACTGGGGGAGGATGTTGTTTTGTGGTCATATCTGATAGGTTTATTCTCTCTTTAGCGGTGTGTGCACTAGATCCTGTTAGCGTGATGGCGTCGACATCTCAATCAATTCTAGAGGGGTGCGCTACGCTATCCCTTGAGGAGGAGAAGTATGGCGGGCTGTTGGTGGGTCGTCTCCTGACGGATAAGCCGGTCAAGTTTCCGGTGGTTAGGGACATGATGGCGGGCGTTTGGCGTCCGGGAAAGGGGGTCACCATTAAGGAACTTCAACACAACTTATTCGTATTCCAGTTCTACCATGAATTTGACCTAAAGCGAGTGGTGGAGGATGGACTGTGGTCGTTTGAGCAAAATTTGCTGCTGGTGAAACGAGTGGAGGATAAGCAGTCGCCGCTTGATGTAGTCCTGTCGCATGCAGAATTTTGGGTGCAGGTACATAATCTCCAACTGAGGTTCATGGCAGTCCGGGTGGCGGAGGCCATTGGCAACTTTGTTGGGCGTTTTGTCGCGGCTGACCAAAGCAATTTCGAAGGGTCTTGGAAGAATTTCATGCGGGTAAGTGTGGAGGTTGACATGTCGAAGCCGCTCAAGCGGAAGATGAAGCTAAAGAAGCAGGGGGGGGGGGGGGGTGAGTGGCTACCCACTTTCTGCTTCTTGTGTGGTCTGCTGGGGCACTCTGAGCGGTTTTGTGCTAGGAACTTTGAAGATGGCGAAGTGATAGGTGAAAAGCCGTATGGTGCATGGCTTCGGGCGACAAACCGGCAGCCGTGGGCGGTGTTGGGCCAAAAAAAGGAGGCCGGTTCTTTGTCTGATCATCGTTATTGGCTTTCTTTTCCGCCTTTATTTGTATTACATGTTGATAATGAAGACTGAGTTATGTTTGATTAAAAAAAAAAGGATACAATTAGGGTGGCATTTATATTTTAAACTATTAAGTCGTCTAATTAAATTGCAATTTGGTAAAAAAAAAAAAAGAATAGATGTAAAATTCTTTTTTTTTTCTTAATATACAATATATTAAATCAGTGAGTCCTTTCAAAAATAAAAAAAAAAAATAGTGAGTTAAATATAAAATTCTATTACTAGCATTTGCTAATTAAGCTTTTTGAAAAGTAATGATACGTTTTAGCAAAAATGTTAATAAGGAAATTGAAAACACCATTTCCCTAACAATTCTGAAGAATAAAAGTGGTCCATATAACATTAAAAAAAATAGTTTGCTATTAATCTATAATTCATGGGTAAAATTTTAGTTTTCCAAACATTATATTTAATGTTGTAACATGTCACATTGATGGCCTTATCAAGTAGTTATAATCTTCAACAACAATTCCTGTCAATTACTCCGTACAACTGGGTAGCAATTAACCCACAACCTAACATTTACTCCTAGGTGTTAGTAATTCAATGCCTATATTTGTTTATTATTTTTATATTATATAAATTGTGGTCTATGCTGCGGCGTGGGATGTATCTAAATAATAATAGATACACATTTTTTTTTTGATACATTTTTTAATATGAGCATACTGAAAAAGATTAACGAGTTTCCATAGTCAAACATAATGACTAATTCCGACTAATCCCTTCGTTGAATTGAGGTGGGACAACTGGCCTAGAGATTTAAGGTTGTTCTATATGCAAACCAAAGATCGAATCCTTGACGTTTGGTTAAGGATGGATAAGTCCCTTCCAGTTAACCACACCTCGAGGTTATTAGAAGACTTAATTATAGATTTGAAGAAGAACAAAGTATAAAAATATTGAAATATTACAAAGGAATTAATACAAAGGCAAGGATGGATCCATGTTCATTTTCAAACCTGAAACTCTGGAATGATAGTTCTAACAATCAAGGGTATTCTCACAACATGATGACCATCCTCCCAAAACAAGTTCCCAAAGGAGTGGCTTCCTTGTATGCTCAGCTTGGAACACAGAGTGACCTTGAACATTGCCTTGTTAACACTAGAGTTAAACAACAGAAGGGATGGCTCCACTCTTACTTTTATGCCGGGGGGAGCTTGGATCCGTGCAGTGTAAATGGAAACCACGGGGCCTACATTCGTCACTGTTCTTGATACCTGCAGGCTCCTCTGTAACGCGGGAATGGTTATTGATGGGAGGTTCAAGTTCACGAGGAAATTGGATGGCGCGTGGCATGGAAGCAGTGACCTGGTGAGCCAACTGATGGCTGTTTTGTTGTATCCCATGGAACAAAGGAATTGAGCATAGTCAGTTCGATCCATGTCATATATTAGGCCGGGATCTATGGCCTTGTTAGCATCAACATGGCCACCGCCATAGTCAAATGGATCAGCTTGCTTGGGTGGAGCTCCTTCTGCAACTGCATTCTGCCCATACTGATCTGTTAAAGAGGCTGCCCAGAAGAAGATCAAATCAAATAATTAGTTTCGTGTCGAAGGGAGATATACAGCTAGAGGTCTTTTGTGGTCTTACCTGTTGTGACTAAGGCGGACTTGATTGCAGCAGGGCTCCAGGTGGGGTGGATGGCTCTTAACAGAGCCACAATCGCAGATATATGAGGGCATGCCATGGAGGTTCCTGATACAATCTTGAAGTTAAGATTGGGAAGTTGAGTTTTATTGGAATCCAATGACTGATCAGAGGATGCAGGTGACCATGATGCCAAAATATCGACCCCGGGAGCAGCAATGTCTGGCTGCGAAAGTGCGAAATACAAGAAAAGAAAAGGAAGAAAGAAGTATATTACTGTATAAGCAAGGTGAGTGCACAGTGTAGCAGCAAAATGGGTAAATTTATACACTAATCCCCATTACCTTGAGTACTGTTGGAGATAGGGAATTTGGCCCTCGAGAAGAGAAGAGTGCTACCTGTGGGGAGATTTGCTGCCCCACAATCGTCCTTGGAAGGCTGAACTTTACAATGGGATTGCTGAAGCAGAAAAAAAAAAAGGTATGTTACTTATGTTCTTAAGAGGACAAGGTTACTTTTGCAGAGAAAGCATATCATAGTGTAAATAATTAATTGCAAGCCATTTGATTCTAGCACAAGGATCAACTTGTATTGACAGAATCGAGACGGTTTTTAATGGCAAAGACAACAGAAATCACCTGGTTGATGCTATGTAAGTAAGGAGAGATGTTCCAGTTGTAAAATCCACATGGACACAGGGGACGTCTAAGCACACGGTGACCTCTTTAGTAAGAAACCGCGCAAAGATAAGTCCAACACCTTGGCCTTCCTGTACAGTTCTTGCTGCAGCAACAGCGGACCTTTGGTATCGGGATTCAAAACAAAGGAGGACCTTTCCTTTCACTAAAGTTGCATTCAAGGATCCAGTCTCACAACTTCTGTTAAAAACTATTCTTGAGAGGCATTGGGAAAGATTTGATCGATATTCAAGAATTCATTGGAAGATACTTCACCTTGCTTCATTTTCATCTGCATCACCAGATTTAATGTCTTCACCATATGCGATAGGAAAGAACCTGTCATATTCTTTCCCTGCAAACAGAGTCTGGCCCTGAAAATGTGAGCAAAACATACAAATGTTTCAGTCCCAAACTGAACCTGAAGCTTATGGATCTTTTTGAATCCAATTCTTGTCATTTCATCTGTAGCAGGTGAAATTTATGGTAATAGATGAGAGATAAGTTAGTACCACGAATATTTGATTGCTTCCCAGGGTAATCACACTAGGAAAGGCCCTATCAATGGTAGTTGCTGCAACAGTAATCACCCATGGAGCTGTATTTACAACTGTTTCGGGAGAGGGACCAATATTCCCGGCTGAGCAAACTACAGGAATTCCTTTAGTGACTGCATGGAAAGAACCAATTGCCACAGGATCCTCCACATAACTTGAAAGAGGAGGGAGTGAACCCAAAGATACTGAAAGTAAATCAACGCCATCAGATATTGCATCATCAAACGCAGCAAGTATGTCAGCAGAGCTACAGCCACCAACGGACCAACACACTTTATATGCTGCTATCCGAGCTAAAGGAGCTCCTCCTCGGGCTAACCCTTTTGCTAGTCCTGCAAAACTCGCACCCTCTATTGACGCCCCAGCTGCAGTAGATGACGTGTGAGTCCCATGGCCTGTTGCATCTCGGGGTGACAAGAATTCAAGCCCATCACTTGGGTTCAACTTCCCAAATTCAGCCTCATATCCTTTGATATACCAACGAGCACCAACTAATTTCCTGTTAGCCAAACGGTTAAATCAAATTGAGAGGTTTGTTGATGAAATAATTGGAAATGTTTAGCCCATTTGTAGGAATAAATGTACAATAAGTTAATCCATTTTTGTTCTTCATCTCTCAATTTTATTTCATTGAAAATAGTGTTTACCTGTTACAGTTGGAACGATTAAATTCTTCTCCTTCTTGGCACATTCCCTTCCAATAGGATGGAACACTATGAAACCCATCATCATTGAAGCTTTCAGATTCAGGCCATATCCCTGCACTAAGCAAAAATTGAATAATAAGTCAAGCTGCAATGTAAATGTTAACAACCATGGGCACCATTACACACTAACCAGAATCTATGACACCAATTATAGAAGCAGCTCCAAAATGAGCCCTTCTTAGTATTCCATTCTTCAAATGAGATTTTACTTGCAGAAAATCCCAACTTCTTGTTGTGTGCAAATTTAAAATTCTCTGAGGAAATACGCAAACAACTCCCGGGATATCTGTGGTTGCCACAAATTACAGAGGCAGGTTAACACACAGGAAATAAACCAAAACTGAGTTCAGTAGCACATTAGCATACCTGCAATTCGTTTAGCCTGAATTGGACTTAAGACAGCAGCGAAGCCTGAGAACCCATGCTTGTAGCTATACAGAATTGATTTTACGGCAGCTTCTTTGCTAACAACCAAAGCCCCATTAAGTTACACGTAGTTCCCCGTACAATTGAATAAAGAAAATTGAATCAAAACAAAATCACTTAAGGACACAAATACAGAATTACATATAAATCAAGTGAGTAGTGAGCTTTTCCAAATTAGACAATTCTAATTGCCATCAAAAAATTCAAAACAGCCATAGTTTATCAAGTTTCTTTCCATGATCCAAAAAGAATATAACCTATTTCCATTTGCAAAAGGTCACTGCGGACTAATCAAACCATATGCAATAGCCAGTTATAAAGATTACGCCACACTACACATAAACAAATAGGATTTTGGAAACTATGGTAGAACCTTCCAAGAATGTCGGACAATATCCTGTGATGAGAGTCTTCAACATGCTCAGGCATATCATGACGTCTCTCCCCCAAATAGATAATGTGGACCTTAAACATTTAAGCAAACAATCAAAGGAAATTTTTTACAGGAAAGCGGGGACAGGGTCCTAGTTAACACATTATTCTTTATTGCACATGCACTTCTTTGAATAAACAAGCCATTATGTTAACAACATATATACAACAGAAACTTACATTGCTTGAAACTGCAGCAGTGCCAAATGAGTGTTGCAGTCGGATGAAAACAAATAAAACAATGCTAACGATCCGCGTTGCGTCCATTATTGGTTAAAATTTATCACAACACAAGAAAAAGATTCATGGAATTGAATGCAGTATACATTCAGCTTAGTGATATATATATATAGCGAGAGGGTCCGGTCCTTCAGGTCTGTGGGATCAACATTAAGCAACGTTCAAATCCAACAAGTGAAGGTAACTGTTGGTGAACAGGGATTGCATTTGCATAGAGTAGCATCTGTGCAGTGTGTATGCATTTACTATAAGATCCTCAAATAGAAGAAAAAGGGAAAAAAGCAAAGATTTTAAAAGGGAATATTGGATCATACGTACAAGGGTGGTGTACTTGGATGATGAAAAATGTTGACTTGACTTTGAGGAAATAGAACAAACACATGGTGGGTTTGGTTGAGGGGTCACTTCACCCCAACCCAACCCCACTTTGGGTAGAGCTGAACACTCACCAGTCACCAGCTCCCTTCCACTCTTTCAGTGCTTCAGATCACTTTGGCCACCATGTCTTCCCACTATCTTCTGCACTTTTGCAGGTCTCTACTCTGTGTGCATAATTGCATTGCACATAAAATGTGCTTTAATTTTCTGTCTCTTCTGTTCTTCATTTTGATTATTGCGCCATTGGGTGAAGACACCATATTGGATAGACTATAACATCAACATGCATAGCACCATTGGAGTAGTGCAAATAAAGCGCACCCTGCAGCCTGAGTTGACACCATTCAATTCTCGGTATATGGAAATGCGTTGAATCTTGTGCATATGTAAGCTTTTCTGGTTTGGACTTTGGATGTAGGCCCAAAAAACCCACTTTTTCAACAAGTTTAACTTTTTCTGTAATCAGTGACTTGTTGCTGTTGGGGAGAATAGTTTGTCAGCAGTTGGGTGGCGACTTCAGTAATGTCTCGGTTTCAAAACACTCTCACAAACTAATGGATTTTTATCATCATTTGGCAAGGAATTGAAATACATACACTAATAACAATGTTTATATGTGCCAATTTTGATGGTTTACAGTTCAATTCATCACCTTTCAAATCATTCACTTTTATACTACTCCGTATATGTTAATTAGGGCAGATGAAACTTTACTCCAACACTTATTATTGCCCAGTATAAGTGGTACCCTTTGGACATAGAGCAAAGGGAGCGTAGTGGTTGAACTGTTAGAGCAGTTGTATATTAGAATGGCTGTGTATTGTAATTTGTAAAGGCACCAATATGAGTTCATACACCTGCTTTTGAAGAAAAAAGACCACCTTTATCGTATTGTCATTTTAACATAACATCTGGACAGCACAGCACAGCACAACGAGAAACCTACTATAATGTTGTAATAAGTACTGTAATAACTAGCATGTGAGCTTTACATCATAATATGACCCAAAATACTAATAGAAACCAAAGAACACACTTCTTTATTCTGCTGGTTTCCTGCAAGCTTATAGGGATAGTGAAAAGGTGAGCTTAATACTTCCTTTTAATCTCCTAATAACATCATTCCTGAAATTGCAGAATTATAGGTATCAGCTGAAAAGAGCACTAATAGCAACAAAAAAAAAAAAAAAAAATATTGCGGTCAGTTTCAGAAACTTACATGCGAAAGTACGCTGGTTTCCAAAATGGTACACAAGAACAGCCAGAATGATAAAGAAGACAATCTACAATACATATTCAAGAAGTAAGAAAATGTCCATTGCATGAAGGGTTAGAAAAGAAAGGTACGGAGTATATACTAATCACAAACACTCACCAAAGCTGGAGAGTAATTGGGCTTGCTCCTCCTCATAATAATGTAAGATTGCCTAATGAAACACAAAAGCATCAGCTCATATACAGAAAAATATATGTTTGGTAGAGGACGAGGTTATATTATGCCACAAACCTCTTATTCAAGGTTCCAGACTCCCTGCAAGTCTTCAGAATTGCTTCAAGCCTCTTCACAGTTTTGGTTGCACTAGGATCATTGTAGTCAACCTACAGTACAAACGGGTAGCACAAAAGACAATAAATCTTTGGAGTATCAATCTTGATTTAAGCAGATATCAGTTGCCTAGCCTAGGAAAAGTATTAACTTTCAGGACTAACACATTCAAACTCTGTTCCGATGTATATTAAATATTTAAATCTCCATACCTTTGACATCAGCATACAAGAAAAGTCAAAAAAAGCACCATAGACATCTGCCATTGTCTTGGTCCGGTCAATGACCTTAGCAGTAAGACCTATAAAGCAAAACAAAATATATTAATCATAACACTACATTTTAATATTCATACCCAAAAATAGCACAGCACACACAAAATAAGGTAGCAACATGTATATCCCAAGGTGGTGGCAAAATTCTCAAAGTCCATCATGAAAATAAATCATAGAGAATAGTTGCCATTTCCATGAAAATAGTTCAAATAGGAGCACAACAACCAAATAAATGTAAAGAACTTATTTTAAGACAATTAGATTCCTCTAGGAAGTTGAAAGGGAAGCTCTTTACAATACACATATGGTTATGCTCTGGTAAAGAAACTTCTGCCCCTGAGAAGTGTCAGTCATGTCAAATATTGGCATCTGAACATCCAGAACCAGAAATTAAAAGAACAAGATTTGCTTAAGTAGCTGCAAATAAAAAGTAAATTATAGGGCCAACACAATGTAGTTATGCATACAATATTAATATATTATGCCCTGTAAGACATTTGAAGTCCACGAGCTATACTTACAGAAAAGGGTGCACAATACCCAGTTAGTACTGTGTAGTGTTTATGAGGCAACTTAATAATTTCATACTACTAGCCATACATTAAGTACCAAATGGAGCATCTGAAGTGATTATAACATACCACGTCTCATCTTTACAACACCCCTGAAGACTTCAATATTGTTGTAGCACATGGCTAATGTTCCGATGGCCATGATCTGAAAGTACGAGCAAATAATAAATCTTATTCTGATAGTGAAGTAATTACAGAAAAAAAAGAATGCTTTGTGCATGACAGGTTGGGGGCAGAGGGGTATCATGATCAATTTGAGAAACCTAAAACTACTATAACATCATACCTGTGGAATAGCACAAAACCTAAAGATGGAAGGATCTCGCAAAGCAGACATGTAAGTCAAACAATCCTCTACATGTGATAAAGCATTTGTGACCATGTCATTCAGGCACTGCACTGCCTTGACTGAATTCTCCTCATCTTTTAAATCCTGATGGACATTTTAATAGAGATGTAATAAAGGAGAAAGGCCCAACCAGCATGATTTAAAAGAAAAAAGAGAAAAAAAAATCCATCACCATGCCAAACTAAAATCTGATTCTAGATCCTGAAATGCCAGAGGACATGAAAAACACAAAAGAAAAATTAAGAAATATTCCATTAAATATACAAACCTCAAGTTTATTGACATATTTACTCCAGATTTGACGGGGCCAAAACATTCGAGACTTTGGTATCTCATTAATGTCCTCAAGGTAATCTCTAATGATGTTTGTTTTCTGAAATTCAGCAATGAAATAATGAAAAACTATAAATCCTCCAAGTAAATAGATAATTTGAAGGATCAAGGATAGAAGCAACACGTTTTTAATACAAGAATACCTGGAGGAACAAACCCATTGAGTTGGAGATATGATCTGAAGCTAAATCTTCTTTACCTGAGGCATGGAAAAGTTTTGACAACCCTAACCCAACAAGCCCAGCAACATAATGACAATATTCATCATAATCATCGACTGTTTCCACCTGCAAGAATGTAACAAGCAAGTGTTCCATGAATACTCTACCCATGAACCGGCTTCCCAGTAGCAGCAGTGAATCTCATGATATATACACATACACAGATTGCTTATTGCAAAATACCTCCTTGCATATAAATTTTGCCATCCCTGCACCCATCCTCTTGGTAATGTCCTCAATTGCCTCCTGATAGCTACAAAATATTAAAAGTATCACTTTGATGAGCAAGTCCATTCACAGTATTTATAAAATATAAATATAAATAAATGAATAAAAGACTTGTTCATTAGAGAAAACAGTAATATGTTTTAAAACAAACTCACTTCTTCCCAAGCTCTAGAAAAGCAGTAGAAACATGACGGAATTGGTCCATGAGAACTTTATAGTCCTTTGTACCACCTGATAAAGAAGTTGCAACTTGTAAAAGCAAATAGCATATAATAATGCACAGAAAATGAAAAAAAAAAAAAAAGTATTTGAGGAACTGAATGGAACAAGCGATTACATGATTTACGAACCGAAGGCACATATCCAGAAACTCACATGAAAAATTCCATTCAAGGTCATATATGTGACGATGAAAAGCCATCAAAATAGGTACTTTAACCTCTGAAGCAATGCTTGTATCATCCTCTATTCAGAAGGGAAAAAACAAATAAAAAAAATTTGTAAGAAATGTGGAAAAAGTAACCTGCTTAATGCAAGGATATGATCATTACATAGAATTTCATATGGATTATTATGAATAATTGGTGGCTGATATTACAAAAACTCTGACCTACTTCAACTGTGAATTTGTTTCAGAATTTATTTCGAGGATTGAATCTATCTTTCTACCTTTATGTCATATAAGCTAGAAAGAATCTTCCTAATGCTCCCATGTCCGAATCCAGAGTAAAGAATTGTAGAAACGGAGCAAACTACAAGTCTACAATAATATGCTGGGTGAATTGTTCAGACTAGATATTATCAAATTTGTGTGGCCACTTCAACAGTGGTTATTCCATTCAAGTGAATCGCATTGGGGTAGACTACTAAAACAGAAAACCAGCTAAGTCATCATTGTTGATTGAGGTTTGGGAATTTTTTTTTATTTTTTATTTTTTATTTTCACTGAAGTATGGAGTAATTTCTCAAAACCCCAGGATCACTACACAACTGGACAATCCCAGGCAAGGTATGAATGATACTGTTTACAGGGAAGCAGCTTTTGTGAACAATGAGAGCTGCAATGGGATCAAGCACATATTTATTGTGTTGCATTTGGGCTCACACTTCTTTAATCAAAACTACTAAAGGACGAAAAGAAGAGAGGCACAGATAATTGAACATACCAACAGTATCAAGTGCTCTAAGAACCAAATAGAAAATGCACACCTGCAATTTTGAGAGAAGTTATATCATATCATTTGCAATAAGAATAATAAAGCAAATACCACAAAGTGAAAATGCCTTGAATCATAGGGCTGTAAGTCCATAGTAGCCTATCCTTTTCTTATAGAAATCAATCGTAAAATAGGAAAGTGCTTAGCATATTTGAACTAATTTTTTCTTATTAAAAACAGCTATCTATCTTCTATAAACAAAGAAAACAGTCAAAATAAAAGAGGCTTCAGACCCTTCATCGTTTAATTCCTTTTCCCATATACCGAAAAACTTCTCAACTTTATTCCTATCCTAGTCAAAGACAAAGGTAGAGCTCGCGCATATGCTCGATATTCACTTCAATTCATGAGCTCTGAACTCAACGCTGTCACTACGCAACAAAAACACATAAACAGACACAAAATTTCCATAAACTGAGAAAACAATAAAAGCACTACAAGTCCACACGGACACACAAATGCATAGATTTCCAAATGAAAATAATCGAGCATTCGGGGGGAAACAAACTCGTAAATGCAGAAACAGTAACATACAGCGTCGCGAAGCTCGTTTGGAAGCTGCTGAATGACGAGAGCGAAGCTGCGAGAGACCTTGCGGAGCATGATGTAGCAGAATCCCCAGTGCGGCTGCGGGGGAATCTGCTTCTCCAGCTGCCTCGCCGCCATTTTCAGCTTTATCAGCGGATACACATCGTCCGGATGCTTCAACATCGCTCCCAAACTCCCCATTCCTCTTTGACCCGCTTCCTAGCAGAGAAACACGACGCAATCAATCTCCCCGCTACAAATCAAAACTGAATTTCCATCACATATATACACTCAGATACACAGATAGAGAGAGAGAGAGAGAGATTCGAAATTCTAACCGTACTTGTGAGTTGTGACTTTCTGAGCCTGAGAAAGATACCAAATTCCACAATCACTCGTGAATGTTGGCACGAGTTCGAGGGTCGTTGATTTATAGAGCGTGCGGAAACGATGGCTTTCAAGTTTCAATGCGTGTATGCACGGAGCTGATATTAAAAATATCGGTCGCAATGCCCAACTTATTATTGGCGGATGATGAGTTGTTCGTTACAATAGGACAGCAGTCACAGCACAGCAGACTGTACAACTACGTTACTACGGAGTATCTCTTTTGGCAAATTTTATTGTGGACCATCAAAATGGTGCTCTTTCTTTCGATGAAAAGGCGTTCCGTCCAATTAATTCTATTTTGATGGCATATTCAAATTCATTTTTTTTCTTTTTTTTTTGAAAGTTACTGGTCCTATTACATTGTAGTATCTGTTCATATACTTTCACCAATAACGCCTCCACTGAGGCTCGAACTCATAATCTTTCAAATGGAAGTCCAACCCGGATACCATTAGACCACATAGTCCTGGTCATTTTATATATGCTATAGTTTCATTAAAATACAGCTAAAATATTATTTTAATTTCATTATAATTTCATTTGACAATATATACTCAATATGTAAAATATGTTATTGAATTTTATTTTATACACATTATATTTTTATTACAACATTACTAAAATATAATTCAAATTTAATTTACAGTTTCATTGGACAATATGCACTCAAATATATTAAACTTGTTGTTCAGTTTCATTTTATATAAATTGTAGTTTCATTACAACACAATTAAAATATCATTTTAATTCAACTACAGTTTCATTTGATAATATACACTCAATATGTGAGACATGTTATTTATTTTCATTTTATACACACTGTAGTTTCATTATGTCCCTATTTAGTAAATTGTTGTTAGCTGTTAGCTGATTGTGTTAATTAGAGGGTATAACTAGTGGATAACATTAACTGTTGTAGAAAAGTGTTTGGTAAATTAGCTGTTAGCTAATAGCTGTTTTGTATAATTTCTTTTATGAAAAAACTAATTGAAAAAGTTGTTTGGATTAGCTTTTTGAATTTTAACATTTTAAAGTTACAAAGAGTTAATTAACCAAACACTTATATTGATATTTTAACTAAATCAAACAATTAATAGTAATCAAATAAGTCAAAATTGATCCATAGACCAATTTTTTTACCAAACATGGTCCATAGTACAATTAAATTATCATTTTAATTAAACTATAGTTTCATTTGGCAATATACAATCAACATATAAGACATGTTATTCAGTCTCATTTAAAATATATTGTAATTTCATTACAGTGCAATTAAAATATTTGTACCATGTACAATCTCTAATTGTAAAAATTATGTTGTAAATTGCATATATATAAGTTCCTAAATAAATAAATAATTTAAATATTACTATACAGCTTCACTAGTGAATTTTCATTATAATGATAATATAAAAAGTGAACACCAAAAATCTTATGGTTAAGTGGCTTGAAGTGATTCTTTCATATGTAAAGTTATATAGGTTCGATCGAGCCTTAGTAGAACTGTAAAGGCGGTAATGACTTGTACGTAAAAGTGAAACTTGAAAAGGAGATAAAACTACTAATGATGCTATAATTTGGATGAGTGTCAAAAGTCAAGACCACATGATTAATCTAATATTTTATAAATTAAGGTCATTTGTCTTGCTATCTTTTTCTGATCGGTCAATAAGCCAATTTTTACGCTGTAGAAGTCAAAAAAACATACAAAAATATTAAATAATGTATGATGTATGTAAGAAAGCCTATGTGATTAAGTGGAGATATGATCATCTCCACAAAAGATCTTTTAGACCACAAGTCATATCATTCATCCGAAAGGTTGAACCCCAACTCTAAGGATTCACACATCCCCGATAGACAGAACATCTGGAAGGATATAAATTATGGAGAATGTAAATTATGGTAACTCAACTGAACATGAACAACAAAAATTAGACTCATTTACTTACTGCGCATAAGGAGTCCCTCACTTTGAGAGGTTACTCCCACATTGCGACCCATTTGCTTACTGCGCATAAGGAGTCCCTCACTTTGAGAGGTTACTCCTACATTGCGACCCATTTGCTTACTGCGCATAAGGAGTCCCTCACTTTGAGAGGTTACTCCCACATTGCGTTGATGAGACTCAATCCCTGATCATTCTTTCAAACTTTCACATCTATGACCAGTTGAGTTGCCCATGCAGACCACAACTCATATCATTTAAACCAAGTGGTTAGGCGAGTAGGCGTTAGCCACTTTGTTGTGCACGCCAACCCACGTCAAAGTCGCTATTATATATTTATATATATTCAATTCTCCTTTTTGGACTGTGCCCATTTTTTTTGGTTATGCATTTTCCAATCTACGATTGTTGACTTCTTATTGCAATTAATATACTCCCTATGTCACAACCACAATACCTTATCTTCATTGTTTTGAGTTTTGACTTGGTATGCCAAATTAAAGTCGATTCTTACAACTTATGGTAACGGACAAGAATCCACTCCACAATAATATAGTTTTGACTAGGTAATGTTCGTGGAAAATCTATTGATATTTTGTTGTTTATTATATATAGTGTATAGTTTGCAATGCAAGATAATTTGTTTCTTGATAAATATGACATATATGATAATTTCAATCTCTCTCTACCAACTCACGAACCATTAGACACTAAAGATATTCAAATCATATATTGAATATCTCTCATTCTTCAATGTGAGGCTTTGTCAATAGTCATCACTGAATCATTTTTGAGTATTTATATTTTTATAACCTCTATACCAACACATCGAGAGACTATTAAAAGAGTTCTTATTAAAAATAAAGAAAAATAGTTTTTTTCCTTGAAATAATATATGATCAATATATGCAAATATGGTACACAAATATATTTAAAATAATGAATAATAAAACTCAAATTGTGCCAGTTTATTTGGTAATTTTTTTTAGGAGCGCATGCACCTCAATACCTCATCATGGGTGTATTTTACGGAGTAATCATAATGGAACAAGAAAATCAAATATAAACTAGTATAGGGAAAGAAATGAACATATATGGCTTTTTCCTTGTTAGTTCAAACCTTCCACAGTACGTCCTTGTGAATGGAAATTTACCTAGACAACTTCACTTATTTATTTATTTATTTATTAGTATTATGTTCTGTTTTCTTTTAACTTCTACAATATAACGGTCAACAAGTACATTTTTAAAAAAAAAAAAAAAAAAAAAGCAAAAACGAGTAAATAAATTACTGTAAAAGATCTGAAACAAAGTCATATATAAGGGACATCAGGGTTCCAATACAGTGAACCCGCCTGATTTTGGAGAATATGATTTTGAAGCTAAAAGTGTGAGCTAAGATATTAGCACTTCTAGGAACTAAACTAACAAAAAGAGTGAATGATGTTCCTACAATGACTTGCAGCAAATTAAAACCAACATGTGACCGGAGCTCAATCATAGGAGTGGTTAAAATGCGATGTAGAGATCAAAAGAGCAATCAATCTTTAAGAGGACAGAAATTATCATACGATCTTTCAATCAGGATAAGACTTCTTTGTAGGCTAGGGTCTCTGCCATGAGCTGGCTCATGCAAACCGGTATGACTCCATTTAGGGCAGCCGTGTAGCCTCCAGAAGGTGTGAACAGAATTATTGCTCCAAAAGTTGCGGTCAACAAGTACATAGTTGTCTAATATGTTTAGACATTTCGCCTACTCACTTGTTTGATCGGGATTACTAAGAAAGATTAGGCAAATAAAAAATGTTAGGGACCCTAGAAGTAAGACCTTTTTAAAATAATAAGAGAATTTATTTACTATATATACATACATATATATATATATATATATATATATATATATATATATATATTTAAACTTAACTACATACATGAATTACATGCGTGAATAATTTCCATGTCACTAAATAGCATGGAAAACATTTAAAGGTAATATTGAAGAAATGGAAAAAAGTCCGTATGGGTAATTTAGTTGGTTTTTGGGAGTTAAATTGTAGGCAAGATGTGAGTATATAGCCATTAATGTGCAATCCAATTATAAGCTTAGGCTTTTAGTTGAGATGGAGCACATACTTCAATTTGACATCAGAGTCAAACTAAAGGTCATGGGTTCGAATTTCAGTGCCACTCCTAAGTGACTGCGCTTTATCGGAATATCTTGAAAGTCAATAAATTATTCAGGGTGATTTTAAGAAAACTTAAGTCTAGACGAAATGAAATTAAATTTGAGGATTGCAAATAATGCATAAAAAGAAGAAAAGGATCCACATGAATATAATGCTCCCAACTTCCCTCAAAGGATCCACATGAATATAATGCTCCCAACTTCCCTCAAAGGATCCACATGAATATAATGCTCCCAACTTCCCTCCTGTCATCACCAAGCCAACCACCACCTTGAGATAATCCATTTATAAATTAAATAAATATATAGTGTTATATATACTAAGATTTAAAAGCCAACCACCACCTTGAGATAATCCATTTATAAATTAAATAAATATATAGTGTTATATATACTAAGATTTAATCATATATGATGATGTCACTACTGGAAATTATGAAATTTCTGACCACCTGAAAGTGATCTTAAATCAAGTCGAAAGTTTGTTCTGAGTCTTCTGACCACTTTTGGTATCTGGAAAAACCTTTGTTGATATTTCCGACCACTTTTTACTAGTGTTATATATACTAAGATTTAAAAGCCAACCACCACCTTGAGATAATCCATTTATAAATTAAATAAATATATAGTGTTATATATACTAAGATTTAATCATATATGATGATGTCACTACTGGAAATTATGAAATTTCTGACCACCTGAAAGTGATCTTAAATCAAGTCGAAAGTTTGTTCTGACCACTTTTGGTATCTGGAAAAACCTTTGTTGATATTTCCGACCACTTTTTACTTTCAACTTGATTTAAGATCACTTTCATGTGGTCGGAAATTCCATAATTTCCAGTACGTAGTGTGTTGTGGGTGTGGTTGACTGGTTGTCACATATTTTTCCATTTACATGTGCATATAAATTTCAGGTTTTACAATTCTAAAATAACA